TTGCAGAGGAAAGTCTCTGGACTCTGGTGAGAAGTTGGCCGTGGAAGTCTTGGCCGTGGAAGTCTCTTGATGTATAAAATCTAGGCAAAACTCCGTTTGGAATTGATTTACTTTTTTATTTAATGACTTGATCCAGTTCAGTGTGCGTGAAAAGCACGGGTTTGGTTTTTTTTGTGACACCCCCCCATGCGACAATACTTTTTGTTATGTATTGATTTATTAGTACTTTTTCCTCTAGGAGCGATCCTCTGGCACCCCCTCCCAACCCCCCACGCCCTCCATTCCCATTGCCTTCCCTGCCACTGGCCCACGGCGTGGCGCTGGCGAGGGAAACGCTCCTCGGAGCGCCCGCGGACCGAGACCGGGGCTCCCTCTTCCCCCCCCCCACACCCCCCCCACCCGCACCCGCACCCGCCACCCGCCCCCTGCGCCGCCCTTCCCGCGCCCGGGGCCACCTTGGCGGTTCTTTTGTTAGGGACGCCTGCGCGGAGAGGCGTTTTCTGGCCTGCTGGGAGCGCTCGGGCCCCACTCCTGACTCCTTAGAGTCCCCTAAGGGCTTGTAAGCGTATAGGCTCGAGTAGAGAGGCTAAATTACACCCCGGGGGACTTTTTAAGTGAAATCCTAAATTTCATTTAGGCTGTTCGCAGGCCATGCGATGGCAAAGGCAGCCGACGCGCGCCTCGGCTCGCGGGCTATGCGAACCCTAGGCTACGGAGAACTCTGTGCCTCCCGGATGATCCTCCCGGGGCCTGGTTTACGCCCCTCTCCCTCCTCTCTCCGGTCCCCAGCGCCCTGCACCATCTCCTCGCGCTCCCAGCTCTTCTGTTTCCTGCCACCGCCTCCCCCACCCCACCCCCTGCAATCTCCCATCCCTCCGGCTGCAAGAAAAGTCGGTAATAAGAAACCAGTTCAGTGTCAGTGGGAGAGTGGGGGCGATCACCCCAGAGATACACGGCACTGGAGAGAGAACTCATTTTGTGTAAAGAGGGCCTCGAGTCACCAGGGAATTCCTGGATTGTCTCAGGCTGTCGTGTGTGATGTCCATCACGCCGTGCGAACACCATCTGCTCGGCATTATGCTCTCAGTTGCCAGGCTACCTGCTGTACGCAGGAACACTTGACTGCCTGGCTCCTGGTCCGCAGCGTCGCCCGGACCGCGCGGGCGGGGCCGAGGCCACGGCCGGGGTGGGGGAGGGACGCCAGCCCTGATTAAGCCATCTGCAAGCGGAGGGGCGGGGGCGCGGTGCCGGGCCCGAGCGCCGGGCTGGCAGCACCATCTGCTGGGCCAGAGAAGGAACGGCAGCTGCTCCTTGTTTCCCCCGACGAGGGCCGCCTGGAAAAGGCTGAAGCCCTGGGCGTCCATCCTGAAGCCAGTTCGCCCACCACGGCCACGGAGGCCCCAGTCCCATCAGCCTTTTGTGACCCACCCCCGCCCCGTGGCCCAGGAGCCGGCGATCTCTGGCTCACAGCCAGCAACCCTGGGCCCCTCTCACCCAAACACTAGGCGTGTTCTTGAAAACACTTAGGAGGAATAAAGCTTCCCTGCGCACAGATTTATAAATAAACAGCTGGCTGCTCTTGGGAGATATTTTTACCACAGCTGTTTTTTGAAGTAGAAAACTGCCTCTTTGGGGGAGGGAGGGTGTTTTTTACACCTCCTACCTCTCTCCAGCCCTTAGAAAATTGCTAAGATCTTTTCCCTGCAGGAGAAAAGAGATGTAAACTAGCTCCACTGGTTTTGATTCCCACCCCCCCCCTCCCTTTATTTTACTGAAGAGTGAAAGGTGTGGGAAATAATGAAGATCTATGTAGCCATTTGGATTGCTGACGGGAAGAGACTGAAGGAGGATTCTTGGTAGAAGGCGAGGGAGGTCGTTGGGCGGGGGGATGGGGCGAAGAGCAAGCCAGTAATTAAAACTAAAAATACTGCATCGTTTGGCTTCAAGGCATTACAACTCTGGTGACGAAAGCTCAGCCTGGCTTTCTCGGGCGGCGCACACAGTGTGTGTCCCCCCTGGAAACAAGAGCGGTGGCATGAAATCCCGAAATTGGGCAGACTGTTGCTCGTTAAGCCCCCTCAGACTGGAGGTTAAAAGCCAGCCTGTAATGAGAGACGGCTAATGGGCTCCTCCAGCGCTGAGTGTAAGGTGAGTCATTTGGGGCGCCCTCACCCTCTGGAATATGCACAGGGGCCGGCCTCCAGGTGTCACTCATCTGCTCTGAGTGCGGCAGAGCTGCCTGGGAGAGGCCTGAAGGTGCTGGTACCTAGGTCCGCGGTGATTCATTGGGAAGGAAACCCTTTAGAAGTACTCATAGCCCAGCTGCCTCCAGGTCTTCAGGCTTCCAGTGAGATACCTGAGGCAAAACTTTTAGGGGCAATCGTCCGGTGAAATGTGTAATCCTGGAAAGTAATAACCTAACTATCCATTTGAAAAGGTTTTTTTTTTTCTCACTGTGCGTCTTTTTAAACTTTTTTTTATTGATTGATTTTGAGAAAGAGAGGAAGTGAGAGAGAGAAACATCGATTTGTTCGATGTGTGGTCCCACTCCTTCGCCGGTTGCTGCTTGTGCGTGCTCCAACTGAGTGTGGACCCTTCTGTGCGGGGCGGGGGGGGGGGACGACACTCGGACCCACTGAGGGGGTCCCATCAGGGCCCCCACCGTGCTTCTGAAGAATTTATTTTTGTGGCAGGGAAACGGGGGCCAAAAGCAGCTGGAGGGATCAACACTGTCTCGGGGCGTGGGGGTGGGGAGGCAGAGAAGGCCGAGAAAGCAGCACGTCACACTTACCACTTCTGAGCACGCACCCCAGCTTCCCAGGAGGGTCGCACGGGACAATATCTCGAAGTGCGCAAAAATAAACAGGGCTGGCCCAGACCGGCCCTCTCATAAAGGGAAGCTGTAGAAAACTTTATCTTCCCTTGGGTTTTTTTTCTTGCCAACTCTCTGCTTATCAAAACTGGGAAATAAATATCCTGGAAAGCACAGGAGGAAAAAGCCCCATATACCTGTATTTTTGCTGGTTGGTTAGCAGTCCTTCAGTGTGGAGTTCTTCGTGTTAAGTCATTTAGCCATTTGTTTCTAATGGTGATGGGAATCGGCTTTAGCCCATTGAAAGGAAAGACTTGGAAAACAGGTAGCAATACTGAGAGGAAAGGAACTACCTTGGCCCCTGCCAAGATATTTTTTGTCAGTCAAAAACCAAACTGGTAACATAAAGGTTCCTGGCATTTTAAGAGTAGAAGGTCTTTTTAACATAAAATCGCATAGCTCCCTGCCTAATAATTGTCTGTGTACAGACAAAATACAGAAAGATCAAAAGTTTTATTAACTTCAGCAGTAACACTCCCATTCAAAGAATAGAACATACTCCATGTTCTGCTTTGGAGACATATGGTATATTTCGTCTACGGGCAATGCTGTGCGCGCTTGGCACCAGGGGCCGGCAGCCCGGGGAAGGCCTGCGCTAGTGGAAAGGATATGAGTTTAGACTTGACCGGTGTTCTAGTTCTGCTAGTTCTGTTCTTCCATTCATGGACTGTGTGACCTGGGCTGCTACTACACGGACTAACCAGAACTTTTGGGGGTTCTTATTTCCCAGGTGAGAGGAGTAATGGTGTTTTGTTTCATTTCGTTTTTCGGTTGCTTCGCCTGTTTTGTTTGGGTGGGGGAGAGGGGTTCATCCCTGGAAACCTGAATGGACTGGAAGCGCCGTTCTGCAGAACGCTCGGACAGTGCGTGTCGTGGCCCGGTGTGCACGTGGCATGAGCAGGAAAGGGAGTGTCTGGGGACCAAATCTTCTGGCCCTGCATCCACTCTTCCAATCAGCTCCTTTTTCCTCGTCTACACAGTGTCGTCTGCATTGTCCGCTGTCACAGACTCCCCTCTGAGCGCCATCTCCAGGAGTCGCTGGCACAGTGTGTAAATCGGTCCCTGCCCCTCTCCCTCGATTCCTTAAGGACCGGTCCTTAAAAGTTGCCATCATGTGAATGACTGACACATCATTATAGACGCCAAATTAAACCCCCCCCCATTTAAACTAGCCCATGCATACAAGACTGTTTTGAAGATGTCGGGAGATTATATATTTGGGGGGCAGTGTAACACATTCCTGCTTGTCACCATCAGCGACTCTCACTAATGGGATTTGTTTTCCAACATTTATTTATCAAAGCTTGCAAATGGCACAGTCACAGGGACCCCTGAACAACGTGGGTCTGAACGGCACAGGTCCTCTGGCACGCAGGCTTTTCACCAGGTATACAGTCGGCCCTCGGCGTCCCCGGCTCCCTCCCAGAGCTGATTCGGCCGGCATTTTCAGCCCGCGGTTGGGCATTTGCGGATATGGGTATGGGTTGGTCTAGACCACGTGAGGGGCTGGAGCAGCCATGGGTTTCGGTGCCCGTGAGGGTCCTGGAACCAACTCCCCGCACACACGGAGGAAAGACTGCAGTCAAGTTTTGAGGAGAGTCAAAAATTATACCTGGATTTCCAAGTGCACGGGGTCAGTGCCCCAAACCCCACATTGTTCAAGGTGCACCTGTAACCAGAGTTCCATCAAACAGCAGCTCCGTGAATGAATAGATCCCAGCAAACTTCTGCGGATGCCACTCGTACCCCCTAGGGTACTGGCCTTTTGGCCAAGCAGGCAGCAAGGACTGAGAGACCAGATCAGGCTGCCTCTCCAGAGCTAAGGTGAGCCCGGCCTGAGGGCTCGCTTCCCTCCTCTTGGGAGCACGGAGCCTCAGCTGAGAAGCCCGCCCTTCAGAAACAGAGTGGGCGTGGTCTCAGACCCCAGCACCCTGCTCTATGCCTGCTCCCCTGCGGCCTCTCCAGCCCCACCGTGGGAAGGCCCCCTTTGAGGTCTGCCGCACTGTTTGTGTGGAAACAGAATGTGTGCCCCTTGGGAGCCCTCAGGTCCCGCAGCCAGGGCCTCTGCCCCAATGCCCTCCCTTCAGATGTGCAGTCACCGCATCAGCCTCTCTTTCTGTTCTCCCAGGAGCAGCACCCTGGTGGGCTTCCTCGGACCGCCGGCCCCATGCAGTCCTCCGTGCCCCCAGGCTCAGGCGGCATGGTCTCGGGCGCCGGTCCCGCAGGTCCCGGCTTCCTGGGCAGCCAGCCCCAGGGGGCCATCATGAAGCAGATGCTTCTTGACCAGCGGGCCCAGCTGATGGAGCAGCAGAAGCAGCAGTTCCTGCGGGAGCAAAGGCAGCAGCAGCAGCAACAGCAGCAGCAGCAACAGCAGCAGCAGCAGCAGCAGCTTCTGGCCGAGCAGGTAACACACACCCACGGCGTCGGTTCCCTCCTGCAACCTCCCATGTCCGCGAGGGACTTGTGGTCTGTGTCCTCTGTCGCGACGTCCACAGTCTAGCATTTCCCAGGATCACAAAACAACCTGCAGAATGTAGAATGTAGACCTTTCAATTAGTTAGCCTTTTTCTTAGGATAAATTAGTTTGTTCTTTAAAAAAAAAACAGGCTTCAGCCATCGGTTTGAAGGCCCATTTGCCAGAGACATGTCCTGCCTTCAAGCCTGACTCCTCTCCTTCGGGTTTCGGGTACAGGGGTCAGCGTAATCAGCGCGGGCGGCAGGGGGCTGGCGCACCTCCTTCTTACACTCCAATATTTCTAGCAGGAAGGAAAAAGAAAAATAATTCAGAGAACTTTGTCTTTTGAAAGAAAGTGTCGGGAGGAGGGGTTGAGGGGAATTCTACAGACTCGGTCATGAACAATGGAACAGGGACAATGGCGGAATAATAGGGCCCACGGAGCCACCTGGAAACCTGAACTTGAGGTCACAGAAAGGGGGCAAGTTTAAGGAAATTCCCAAAAGCTCGGAGAACCTTTAAGTTAAAGGAAGGCCTAGCACAAAGCCTTACCTTCGGTGTCTCTGCCCACCGTAGCCATGTAACTCCTCTGGCTTTGTTCCAGCCTGATTCTTCTTGGGGGTGTTTTGTTTCGTATGTTTTGTTTTGTTTGTTTCGATTTTCAGAGGCCCATCCCGGTTTCATATTACCCCAGGAAGCCTGAGGCCTTGCACAAGAGACCCTTAGGTGGCGCCTGCCGGGCCTGCACAGGGCCTCCCACGCTTGTCTTACAGGAGATGTCAGGTTGTCGTCCAAGTCCCGAGGCCCCACAGAGCTCTGCCCCACAGTTACTACTCTTCTAGAATGTTCCCAATAGGGTCAGAGCTTTGGAAATGGATTAAGCATCCTCCACCACCTACTGTGTGGAGCACAGACATATTGGGATCCCTACTGACCAGCACTGCAGTTCAAAGTCACACCAGTCATCCCCCAGATGGGAACATTGTGCAGTGCACTTATGTTCCACTTTTTTGCTTTTGTTCCTGAACAGCTGTGTAATGATCTCCCTTTTCACCAAGGCCAGTCCGCACCTGACAGCTCTTGTACACACAAACCTCTATCCCTCTTACCCCACAGAAGGTGCGTGACAGGGAGCCACGCTAATGCCTCTCGGGCAGTGGTGCCCGGAGCTGCCCGGGGGAAGGTGGGCTCTGAGTCCTTCCCTCAGCCAGTCCCAGGAAGTGTCAGGTGTTCCTGTGACTGTGCATGATGGCTTTTGATACGTGTGCCGTGACTAAGACCCAGAGTGGGGGCAGGGTCAGCAAGCAGACTGGGGGGTGCCAGCCCAGGGATGTGCCCGCTCAGCGAGGTGAGCCGCCCCTGGGAATGAGGAGGAGGCAGAAGACTAGGAGAAGGGCCACCCCAGGGCGACACCCAGAGAGAGCAGGGGATCCCTCCCTCACCCAGGACAGGAAGAGATACGAGGCTCCTTGGAAAGGAGGAGGCAACGAGAAGGCACAGAAACAGAACAATCGGTATAATTCCTTGGAGACTGCGTGTGCCAGGAGGTGACGAGGGGCCAAGGCCAGAACAATGCGCCCCAGGCCAGAACGTGCCCAGTCCCCGGCCCATGGCACGGATTCGGAAAGCCAGCCTAGCCCACCTCGGTCCTCATCAGCCCCTGCATAGGGCGCTTTGAAGGATCACACGGGCCAGTGTGTGAAAAGTCTTTGGAAACTGCACATCTGTCTGTGGGGACCTGTCACATGACCCTAGTGTCACAGAAGAGCTGCAGTCACACGAGCCAGCCATCCTATGGGACTAGCCCACAAGTGAAACAGAAAAAAACTCAAGTCACTGCAGCATCTTAGCTGCACCTGGAGACACCGCTCTCGACGCAGGCCGTCTAGGGGGTCTGCAAGGGGTGGGCTCTCAGCTTCTTGTTGTCAGGATGAACCCTGCCCTGTTGACCCCAAGATGGTTTGTCGGTCTTTGCAGTAGCAGAGCCGCCCCCAACACTTCCAATTTTGTAACAGCGCATTGGAGACACCTGGCCTTCCTGAAAGGACAGGTGAGGGGAAAACAGAAGGATTTGGGGTCTTGCTTATCTGGAGAACTTTAAAATAAGTCTTGGGTAGACTTCGAAATCAGAACAGAGCAGGTTGAGAGTAGGGGCAAAGGTAACATTTAATGCCTTCTCTAAAGAGTGCAAGGCATGTCGCCGTTCATGTATTCCCAAAAGTTCCTCAGAACCTGGAATTTTTGAGCTGAAAGAAATATTAGAGATCATCAAGTCCCTTCATTTTATGTATAACGGAGGCTGGGGCGGGAGCTGAAGGGACTTATGGGAGATCACACAGCATGAGGGGCGGAGCCAAGACTGGAGGCCCCGCCCCAGCCCACCCCAGCCTGCCCCGTGGAGTGTTAGTGTTCCTGCTGTAGGAAGGACAGTTAAGTGGGAAATGTGGCTGGAGAAACTTTTATATGCTCGGCCTACTTGCAAGAATACCCTTATATTGTTTCCTAAAAGATTAACATGGTTTCTTGTCCACACAGTTAATTACTTTTAACAGTTTGTGCGAAACACCTGGTAGGCCTCGCAGGACAGGGTTGCCACGGTGCTGCTTTTCTCAGCCTTGTCAAGAAAAGAGGGAAAAAAAAAGGAGAAAATGATAGAGCTGCCCAAGAACAAAAACAAGAGAAAAAAATAGAAACAAACACGTGTTAGGAAGTGGTCGATGTGTGTTATTTTCTAAGGAACACTCGAAAGAGCAGGGCCCTCGTTGTGTGCGTGCTCCGCAGCCCTTGCAGATAAAAGGCGCCTAATGAATATTCAGGAGCTGCAGGAGGAGGTTAAGTGACACGCTGCAGAGGGTCACGCAGCTACCTGATGGCAGATGAGAACTAAGACCCCTCTCTCTCTCTGCTCTCTCCACCTCACTCCTAATCTCTTTCCTTTTCCACACACAGCGTGATAACGATCACCGCCGCCGCCCCGGAATATTGATAATAGCACGAGCAACGCAGAATCCCCGTGGGTGGAAGAAGAAAGACTAGCCCGCGGGCCTCCTGGCTCCGGGTCCGTGTGGATTCCCACACAATTTCCTCGAGGCAGTCGATGCTGGGTATTTCACTTGTGGAGATGGATTTTACAGGCAGGGTGGCCTCTCGGGAATCACATTAGCCTTTTTTATAGCCCCTGAGAATCCCATCTTCCAATACCCGCAGCATCTATTTAGGTCATTAAGAATTAGTCGCTTGTCCCTTTGAGCTCAGTCCCCACAATGCTCAGGAAAAGGCGCAGGCTGATGTGGGAGAGTCAAAGTCAAAGTCAAAGCTGCCGCCAGCCCGTGCACTCAAGAGGCACGGACGAGGATGCTCCCCGCAGCAGTATTTGGGACAGCCCCAAACCAGAAATGCCCTAAATGACCATGGCTAGCAGGACAGGTTCATCAGTTGTGATGTCGATAGGATGGAACACTCTCAACAGCGAGAAGGAACAGACCGCAGCACCCGCATGACTGAATCTCACAAACACTGTGAACACAGGAAGCCCGACACCCAAAGCAGACACGGACACGCTGTATACGCCCACTGTAGGAAGCACAAAAGCGGATGTGCCCGATCGGTGCAGTCAGGTCGGGGCGGTGGTTCCCTGGGGTCAGATGAAGGGTGAAGACCGGCCAGAGAGACTCCTGGCAACGTTCTGGGCCCTGATGGAGATGCTGCTCCCAGGAGTGTGTTCACTTGTGAAAACCATCTAGCTGTGCTTTGTGCGCTTGCCTGTCTGTGTGCTGTTCTTCAACCTAAAATCTAGCTTGGGAAGGAACCCTGCCTTCCCCAGAGCCGCAGGTGCTGAACTGCACGCACGGCCCCCTCTCACCTCTGCCCGTCTCATCCTCTGTTCCAGCAGCTGCAGCAGTCGCACCTACCCCGGCCGCACCTCCAGCCCCAGCGGAGCCCGTACCCCGTGCAGCAGGTCAACCAGTTTCAAGGTGAGGCCCGCGTAGCCGGTAACCTCGCCTTCTGTGCTGTGTTCGTGCCAGGGAACATGAAGCATGTTTTTGAGAACTGAGAGCACCAACCAATCAAAGTGCATTCTTAGGGGCCCCTTGCTGGGTCCCAGGGAGCTGCTGGTGGGGTCAGGGGGCGTTGGGGTGGCTGGGAGGCTGAGGCAGCTGTTCTTTGCCGAAAGTACAGAAGTATTTCAATAGTCCAACCAATAAGAGCGTGCTGGTGCTGGCTGGCCCACTGTCAGTGTTGCTGGTGTTGGGATCGTCATCTCAGTGACTACGGGGGGAGGGGGGAGGGCGGGGAAAGCTTGCACCACATCTTTCTTGCTAACCCCAGTGGGTTGTCTGGCCAAAGCCTTCACTTCCAGCTGCCCATGTGGGAGCTACTCTGGCTCTCAGCAACCACCAATCTCTAATGACTATACACAACCTTGAGGAGAGTTAGACGATCTTGGTCCTGCTGCCTTTGCGGAAATCCCAAATCATGGCCCCCACGTGACGTGTGCGTATGGGTGCACTGGATTTCATTCTTTTGCCAAGTAGGTGGGCCATTCAAATATCATTCTCTCCACATCCAGTAAAGAGAGCCCCTGATGGTCTTGTGTGGGGTGGAGGGTGGGCCTGCAGACCCTTCCCAGCCCATTCACACAGAAGCTCCAGGGGTCCCCTAACAGTAGAAATCCTAATTCCCATCCCCTCCTCTTTTCATGGGACCTAGCTCAAAGCATCCCAAGTTCTCCCAGTTGCCCATCTCTTTGCAAATCTGTCAGGAGCCATGAAGCGCTGTGCACAGAAATGTGCATGCGTGAACATATGTAACGTTTCAAAAGGGCTACGCCCCTCTGTAGACTGCGGGTGGAATGTGGTCTAGGGTGACATCCTTCAGTCTCTGGATGACGACACACAAATAGGTTATGAAGACAATGCAACCAGCCACAGCCCACATTTTTTTTAAATGCAATACGGTAGGAAAGAAACTCTCGGAGTGTTTCATGATAAGGGAAACTCTCGTTCCTGCTACAAACATGCATGCGTGTGTGCCAGCTCGCGCCCTGTGAGTTGGGCTTTAAGGTCCGAAAGCCACTGACGTTCACAGCCGGGTCTCGCTGAAGCGGCCCGCGAGCACACTGACACCTGAGTGGCTACCACTCCCTTCCACGTGGCCCAGAGAAGGACAGAAGAAACTGGGCTGCCCATGGGTGTTCCGTGCATGACGTCAGTGCCAGTGCTCTTTGAAGAACTGCTTCTCACGTGGTTGTGGGCGGGGAGGGGTGGAAAATAGTCATGGCTACATGGGTCGTCTCCGCCACAGACACAGGGCCCTCCTGTGTTCCTGCAGTCCTCACACTTCGCCTGCATCAGCATCCCCAGCAGTGCCTGTTAAAACACAGATGGCCCGCCCACCCCTCGGAGTTCCTCACTCAGGGGATCTCTAGTGGGACCTGAGAATTCACATCTTAACAGGTTCCCGGGAGCTGCTGCTGCTGGCGGAAGCACCTCGCTTTGAGAACTGGAGCTTTATTTATATCACGAACTAATTAAAAGCACGAAATCTGATAAACCTGGCATCGTGTCCATTGGGTCTTCTAGGTTCATACCTCACTTGTTCTTTTCTGGAATAAAGGGACACACCAACGTCTAATGATTCCTCTGTATTATGAATTAGTTTGAATGCTTTGTTTCCAGTCTAAAAGTTCTACTCTTTGAATTTCTCTAAAACCTCAAAGCGCAGGTAATAAACCTAAAAATTTAGCTACACTTAAGCTCAACAACCAGTGTGTTCCTGAGCTGAAGTGTGTGTATATATATATATATATATATATTTACTATTTTCAGTGTTTTCATCTATTTACTAACACCCCAGATATCACAATGTTATGAATCTGGGAAAATAGCAAATGGGTAGATGAGAATGGTGTCCTTGGGGAGAAGTTCTGGCAGGAGGAACATACGTGAGAACCTCCCCATCTCAAAGAGTTTAATGACTGTCTCTCTCTTCCTGAGCTCTGTGTCTCTGGGCGATGTTACCTGCCTACGAGAAAATGCTTATTTTTCACAAATGCAGGCATCTGAGTGAAAATAGAACACAGACCCTTTCAGGAAAAAATCTCGTATTATCCTCTCCGGTAGAATACGGAAGATTGCCTACGATTTTGTGATGGCAACCACAAGAAAGCAGACAAGAAAATTAATTGGACGATAGTGTCTCACAATATTATCTATTTTAGATGAAAACAGGAAAGGAGGGAAAGCAGTCTGTTTAACATAGGTAGTAATCAGATAAAGGCAAGCTCATTTTTTTTAGAGGCATTCGAATTTTTTCCTATGTTTGTTTAAAATCACTGATGGCAAGAAAAAAACTAGATTAATAAAATGCCTTTTGTTATCCTTGAAAATATGATGCTGATTGCTGATTTTAAAATGCCTTTTTCCATAAGATGTACTCCTGGGTAGCACAGCCATGTATATGAAGTGAAAGCAAAGGTTGGCTTGGGTGAGTCTTCTCACACCTCTTGGGAGGTACCACAGCATCTCTGCTGTCTGCTCCAGGGAACCTGCTTCTAATTCAGAAACCGAGTCCCCACGGTACCCAGGCCTCAGCATGTCCATTGCACGCATGCTGCAAAACTGCCCGTGATTCTGAAGTCTTTCTCCTCTGTCTCCTGCAGCAGCCCCGCAGCCTGTGTGTGCGATTTGGTCTCTCTGATCAGCCTCTGAGTCAGCAGTATGTTTCCCGTCAATTTTTACATAAACAACTCAAACCCCCGTCTCACCGCGGTGGATCTGATTGGCCCGGCAGTCAATACAGATTTCGCCGTTAAGGTCGCAAAACTTCATAACAAGGTTACAAGCTGCACTCCATACTCCCTTCCGGGAGTCAGTCAGGAACTTTTGATTTTTTTAAAAATCGCTTAGATGTAATTAAGCTACACACACACACACACACACACACACACACACACACACAAAGGAAACATGTCTAAGGATCGGTCCTGGATCTTTCCGCCTTCCCCCTGGCAGCCACGCCATTTTTCAATGCAGAACGGTATTGATCCCGAGCCTCAAAAACTTAAATCATAATCAAAATTCCCATAATTTTCTTTCTTAAGGGAAGAAATAATATATGGAGACATATTTGCTGCCCAGAAATCAATGCCCCCATCAGGAAGACAAAAACACACTTCAGGTATCTGCCAGGGTGCCAGGCTTAACAAGGTTACACCGTTCTCATCTGGTTTCTCATCTCAGTTCCCAGGGAGGGTCAGATTTGCTTAGAGCATCGATTGGCTCCCGCGCTGCATCTTTTTTAAATGTCCAGGAAAAGAAGCTATTTTTCTTTGTCTCGTAGAGTTAATCATTAGCAGGGACGTAGAAACCTCCGGCGTGGCTGTGGCTCCTCCTGATCCCTTCCAGCCCCGTCTGGGGCTCGAAGGGTGACCTTGCCCTTCTCCTGGCTGGTCTGGAGGTTTCCCGGGAGCGTGGGAAGGAGGACTCACTTGAATGCCTGATCCAAGTGGGGCGCCTCGGCACGTTCAGACTCTGGCCAACATTAAAACTCGTTTGGCGATCTGCTGCGAGCCGTGCTCATTGCCAGTTTCAAGGAGTGGACTTCACTGGAGAAAGCCACACAGCTCGCTGCCAAGCAGCAAGTAGCAGGATGCTTTCTTTTTCCAGCTCAGGGAGCCGGCCAGTGGCATGCACCGTTAGGGTTTGGAGAATCTGGAGCATGTGGGAATCTATGGGGTGGGTCCAAAAAAAAAACAATCTGTCGGAGTAGCTTCTTAGCAGAAGCAACGGCCTCTAACCTCGCAAATCCTACTCAAGTCTTAAGGGAAATTAGTGCGATAATGGTCTTTACACTGACAGCATTCTCTGCTGAGCCACGGTCCCCTTCACAGTGTGCTCAGGGACCGCCGTTTCTTCTGAATTCGGCCCAGGAGGTGAGTTTCCTCACACCTGTGAGAAAAGGGGCATCTAATTGGTTGAGGACGGCATCCCATCGAGAAACATGAAAAATAATTTGCTTCTGAAATGTGAACAGAAATAGCATCAGGTGAAAAGTTAGCTACAGAAGCGTGTGCACATGGGATCTCCACCGAGATGTGTCTGTTTATATGTAAGTCACAGCCACAGTCATCTCTGGGAGGTGGGAGCCGGGCGACCAATCTTCATCCTTGAGCTCATTAACATTTCCCGAATTTCACAGTCAGCGTTTGTTCCAGGCAGGAAAAATAATGATTGTTTTTATTCGGGATTTATTATCAGAGTAGATCCTTTTGCATAAAAGAATCCTGTCACCCCCAGAGAAAACCCCAGCACCTCGGTCCTGTACATTGCGTGTCGAGAAGAGTGACGGGTGCGTGTTCCTTCTCCCCGCAGGGTCCCCGCAGGAGATGGCAGCCGTGCGAAGCCAGGCGGCCCTCCAGAGCATGCGGTCGTCCCGGCTGATGGCGCAGAACGCAGGCATGATGGGGATGGGACCCTCTCAGAACCCAGGGACGATGGCCGCAGCCGCCGCCCAGTCGGAGATGGGACTGGCCCCTTACAACGCAACGCCGACCAGCCAACCGGGAATGTACAGCATGAGCCCGGGGATGACCCAGATGCTGCAGCACCCGAACCAAAGTGGCATGAGCATCACCCACAGCCCAGCCCAGGGGCCACGGCAGCCCGCCTCCGGGCAAGGGGTGGGGATGGTGAGCGGGTTTGGGCAGAACATGCTGGTGAACTCAGCCATGACCCAGCAGCACCAGCAGATGAAAGGGCCGGTGGGCCAGGCCTTGCCGAGGCCCCAGGGCCCGCCGCGGCTGCAGAGCATCATGGGAACGGTCCAGCAGGGAGCCCAGAGCTGGCAGCAGAGGAGCTTACAGGGGATGTCCGGGAGGACTAGTGGAGAATTAGGGTCATTCAGCAACGGTGCCAGCTACTCACTTCAAGCCGGCCAGCCGAGGCTGACCAAGCAACACTTCCCACAGGGACTGAGCCAGGTCATGGACGCTAATGCTGGCGCAGTGAGGACCCTCAACCCGGCTGCCATGGGTCGGCAAATGATGCCACCGCTCCCAGGGCAGCAAGGGGCCAGCCAGGCCAGGCCGATGGTCATGTCTGGCCTGAGCCAGGGCGTCCCTGGCATGCCCACGTTCGGCCAGCCCCCGGCCCAGCAGCAGATGCCCAGCGGCAGCTTTGCCCCGGGCGGCCCGAGCCAGGCCTACGAGCGGAACGCCCCTCAGGACATGTCCTACAGCTACAGCGGTGAAGCCGCTGGGGCCTCCTTCCCCGGCCTCGCGGACGGCGCCGACCTCGTGGACTCCATCATCAAGGGCGGGCCAGGGGACGAGTGGATGCAGGAGCTCGATGAGCTGTTTGGAAACCCCTAATCAAGCGGGGCCCCACGAGCCACGACGGCAGTGGTGAAAGCATAATACCATGGGCAAACAAACAGGACGTGGACCCATCCTCGTGTTTTGTTTTTTTGACCCACGTAAACTGAGCAAAACTGCGGCGGGCTGAGCGTGGAAGATCCAGGTGCCAATCCGCAGCCCTGTGGGGCCTCCTTTCACCTGATTTTCACACCAAGGTCGAGGCAGGACGCCTGCAGACCCCTGCTGCAAGGGAGGGAGGGAGGCACCGCTGGGGGGGGGGAGGACAAACCTGAGCCCCGCTAGGCACGTCCTGGAGTCGATCACGTGGCCCAGCAGGAGCTGCTCCAGCCCGACCCACCGACTGCTGCCTGGGGCAAGGCATCCGTCAGCCCCTCCGGGCCCCGGTGTGGACACTGCAGTTCTGGCGACACACTAGACAGCGCCTTGGGCGGGGGAGCCCCACAGAGCCTGCTGGGTGGCTGTGCAGGCCAAGAGCACAGGTCAGAAACGTGCTGAGCTCCGGCTGGGAAGAGATGTCAGGCTTCAAGACCTGTGACCGGACGTGGAGGGCAGGCGCGAAGAACGGCGGGATGTCGCAGGGCGACTACCCAGGATCCTCCAGGCCTGTCTCCTGCCCTGCGAGGACCCCCAGGAACGTCAGGTGTTCTGCTGGCTGCCTCACAAGGAGAGCCAAGGGAGCTGGGAGGAGGGTCTGTCCTGCAGTCCCGGGGTAGCCCTCTGCTGGTGACCAGGGTGGCCACGGCCCCACGTGGCTGGGGTGGAGCCTCCTGGGAGCCCAGGAGGACGACGGCGCATCAAGGCAGTTCCCATCCACTGCCGGCACCGTGGGGCGGGGAGACCCTGGCGGAGGCTGCGTGCCCACCCGCATGGCCGCCTCTGCTCCACCCCTGCCTTCGTCCCTCCTTGGGTCCATCCCAGCGCCCTCGCTTCCCATCACAGCTGGATTCCGAGAAGAAATGAAGCTTTTGTCTCTAGGGAGCCCGGGCAGAGTCGAAATAAATGCGAGAAGAACTTGGACAATGCCTGCAGTGCCAAGGCAACACTGGAGTGCTCCTTCTCTGCCGCGTGTGGCGCTGAAGGGACAGGCTCTGCCTGGGACCCAGCAGGCTGCTCCAGGTCTCAACGGCGGGCTTCCACACACCACGCCCGGCACTAACGGTGTGCCCAGGAGGGCCGGCCTGGGGGTCTCCCGCTCGGGCTCCCTTTGGGGAAAACCCGGGGGGATGCTCTAAAATCAGCCTTGCCTGTGCTCACCGGGAAGACAAATCCAAACAAACCCCTGAGAGATGAGGCGCTGGAAAATCAGTTACTCCACCTGACACATTTCGATGACAAAAAGGAGGAAGACACAGTTGCTTCCACACGGGCAAAGCAATCGGCTTCAGGAGTCCTGTACAGTCAGCCGTCCTCTGTGTGATTCACTCAGCTCTGCCCCGACTGACGTCTCCCCGGGGCATCCATGAGCTCCGGTTCGAGAGGCCTGGCTCTCTCTTTCACAAGGACTTAGCTGTACCTCCTGCCTCCCCTCCCACTGTCCTGCTTCACAGGCCATGTGGCATCACTATTGTCCTACGTGAGTGAGAGTGACGTGTGCTTTTCTCCTCCCACCCTCCCTCCCGTGTCTGAAAGGCTGGCTCCCTTCCGGGCCGTCACGTGCAACTCGCCACACCAGAGCCCGGCCTGGGGACCGTGGGGGGCCGGACGGACCGCCCTGGGGGAAGGTTCCGAGAAGGGGGGTTCCCATGGAAGGCCGAGGGCAGAGGATACAGGGGTGGCAGGCGGGCGAACACTGCCTTGACTTGCTCACCAGGTCCTCAGGGTACAGATCGAGTGAGCAAGGAGCAGGATGGAGCAAGGAGAGGCGGCCAGGCGGCCGAGAGCCCAGGTGGGGGCTGCGCTCTCTGGGAACAGGCGTTAGTAGGGTGACCTCGAGCACCCTGCATGGGGAGGGAGCTGCCAGGGAAACTCCTGAGTGGAAACAGATGAAAACCAAAAAGAAGAGTAAGCAAGCACGACAGAGTAGATGATTACCTTTTTCTGAAAGGTACAGGAAGTAAATAGATAAGCAACAATGAGAAGCTAGAGGTCGCGGTTGGGAGAGTGGCTCTGTTACCTTTTAAAAGCTTCCTCCAAACACTCAGTCCTGGGACCAACTAAATAGAGAGGTAGATTTTAATAACGTTGTTTTGTTTTTGTTTTTACTACGGTGCTGATGTATATGTAATGTCTAAAAAAGTTATCTGTAAATAAGTTTTTACAATACGGCAGATATCACTGGGTCTACTATCTGTAAAAAATATATACATATAAATATATATATACTGTTTGTTTAAAATAGAGTATTTTTATTTCATTCCTTAACTCATCATCACAGCAGTGGTATTGCACTTCAGATGACATCTAACTACTAATTTGTACTGTATGACCTATGGCAACTTGCTCCATTTTATTCAGATTTTTCTAGTTTTCTCTTTTTACTTTGTACATTGAGCATTGCTTATTTCCTTTTAAGAAATGTACAGGACTCTTAAATGTAGAAATGAAGTGATGTTGACATACTACTTTTAAAGAAAAAAAAAACAAATAAAAGATTGTTATCTGAATCAACCCAAAGTCTAGCTTATTTTTTGGATCATCGCTGGATCCCCAATCTTAATTAAGCAGATATATTATGCCTGTGTTTGGGTATCAATATTTAAACATTTATCTAACGGTAGAAAGCAACCCACCATTCACAGCCTTTTTGCTCCAACCACACAACAACGAAAACATTCTCAGCCTGCACGAGGGGATGTGGCAGAGGGGGCAGAGAGCGCCGACTCGGAGGGGAACGGACTGAAGTCCGGCTGTGCATTCAGCCCCGTAACAACCCACATCCGCCTGGTTCATTCAGAAGACTTGGGGAAATGACAGTGAAATTTTTATTTTAAAAAAGGTATACTTGGGTAGCAGGGAGAGTAACAAAGAGGTTTCAACTCCCTTGGAAAGGACCCTGTCCACACATGCACACACACACATGCACACGTATGTGCCTTACTTCTTCCAGCCCCGCTGGGCTAGGGCCTGGCTTAGCCTACACCCAGCCACAAAGAGTGGATCAGCAGGCCCCTCCTCACCGGTGCAGGGGGGTGAGAGACCCCCCCACACACAGGATTTACGTTCCAGAGCTCCCCCTACCACAGGATCAAGCAGTGGCAGGGACTCTGCCCCAAGTCTCCCCCTTGCTGGGCTTCCTGCCCTTCTCCACCTGGTCTCCGCCTTTGTTTCCCTCCCATCCTGGGAGCCCCTTCTTAGCCACTCCCACACCCATGACTCCGCCCCTTCACTTCTGGACAACCTGACCTAAGGCCACTTTAGGAGAGTCAAAAATTGATCCAAAACAACGGTGATTTTTAATACATACACACCAAGAGAGCATGAACTTAACCGTGGAAGGGGAGGCCAGTCCTACCCACGGTGGAGCACGGTTCCACACGGGCGGGCAGATCACGCCCCGCGACACTGGGCAACATGAGATCCACTCGTGAGCTGAATCTGGGGCGACGCGCGGGGTGGCCGGCACCAGAGACACAAACCCGGGGCTCTGGAAAGGGCTGAGTGCCCCTCCTCCCCAGTACTTAAAACCACATCTCTGATGGACATCCAGCCGTGCTCGGCCCCGGACTAATGGAACACGTGTCTCCCGTAAAATGACTTTTTCATATGCAACCATATGGACCTTTATAAAATCCCGGTGCCCCGCGTGGGTGGTGAGGGGAGGCAGAGGGAGGGCATCATAACCCCTACCCAGGAAGTCGCCGGCCTCTTCTCACCCAGTGGGAAAGCTGGCTCCTGAAGATCAAGGAACATTCGGAAGCGCTGGATGAGCCGTTTCAGCCCTGACCAGTCTTTTACAGAAACACTGGGGGCAATGAAGGTGAAAAACAAACAACCTGACACTTGCACTTATGAATGACTTTGCTGGCCACACCCACCTCTAACCCCGCAAAGAAAAGTGGGGAGGAAAAATCCCCGTTGTACAACCAGTCCTCTTTCTATTATTTTTTCTTTTTTCCCTCTTATTAGTTTTCTCTTTTCCTTTGGGTTTTAAGCTCTAAGGACATTAGATTTCCACTGGCGGCTTCTAGACAAGCCACCACGGACACCTGCCTCGTTTCATGCAGCAGGTGGAGGTAGTAATGGCAGCATCCACACACGCGGGGCTCACGTGCCCCTGCCCCGCCTGGGACAGCTGCTGGGCCAGGACCCACCGGCGCTGCAGCTCCATGGACCCCTCAGCTCCCACGTCAAGCACACTGCGCTTCAGAGCTACCTGCTTGCAGGGTTTAGCTTGGTTTCCCCCTTTTTAAGCTTTTTTTTTATGAGCATCAAGAAAAAAAAATTATAATAGAAAATAAATACACTCAGCAACTCAAAAATTGTCAACACTTTGCCAGATCACATGCTTGGTTTGCAGCACCATTTTCAAAGTTCTCCACAGTCCAGCCAGGTCAGCCCGCCACCTCTCCACCTGCAGCTCCAGAGGGTCAGGACATCCCGTCCCCGGCCTCACCGCCACGGTCCCACCTAAGGAACGCACACTCTCCCCCTGCAGAGGGCACCTCCCTGTCATGTCACTCTGTGCTCAAGTCGTCCCAACGGCCTCCCGCTGCCTCCCATAGATAGCTGTGTCGTTCCAACCAGGATGCAACCGAGGAGCCTGCACTGCCATTCGGTTTCTATGCCTCTTGTAAGACTCTTTCAAGGCAGAAAAGGTCCTCTCCACCCCTTTGTCATACCATTGACTTTTTGAAGCAATAAACCTGACTTCTAAAAATAAAATCAGCCAATGTACTAACTAATAGGCAGAAGATGTATTTGTAACTGTCAAAGAGATCAGAAATCCCCGTCTCTGCAACCAGTGTGTTTGCTCCCTGTGGCCAAATTTGTAGGAATTAAAATGATGAAGAGGTTGCCTTGGTGACAATAGAACTAGAACAAAGGAAGTAAATTCTGTGGTTCAGATGTCGGAAGATACAAAGCTCCATATCGTGGTACACCCGGCCTCTCTTTCCACGCATTGTTCAACCAAAACTCTGTGTGTGTGTTTATAATTTAAATAGTTTCCATTTAGATGCAAAACAGAAGTTGTTTAAAAACCCCCAAATGTGAGACTTGAACAGTTGTGTTTTCCCCCCACTTCTGAAAGCTATGGTTATGCAGTAATTGTGCTTTGAGGTCAAACATGTGCGCTCCCTCTTATCTTCAGTGCATAAAACAATTAAAATGTCACAAGTCACCGTAACTGATCAGAATGCCAAAGAGTAGAAAGACCGCAGAATCAGCTCATTTGAGAACATTAGCCCCATTTTATCTGTGAGGACACGCAGGCAGTGCCACAGCGCCAGCAGGTGGCCGAGCTGGAGGGGCGTGGCCTGCCCCTGGGGCCCGCCCTCTGCTGCTCCCCCTCCTCCGAGGTGGTGCCAGTCGGGAGCCTGACTGCGAAAGAGGGGCAACAGGGCTTGTGTCCAGGTAGCTGTTCCCAGACCAAAACATTCTCAGCACACTTTGGGACATTTAGTACTAGTATTTGGGGTGCAAGAGGTTGTCATTGTCTTCTCCGCTCCTATCCTGGAAACACTGGTGGTTTCAATGCCCGTATTTCTCTTCCTATTATCCCCAGCCTTTGCAACTTCCTTCGTACCCACAAAAAAGGGAAGTCCCGATAAACAGGTTCTTGCAGGTATCCACACGAGATTCGAGGTGTCCAAGTTTCTTTGGGAAAAGGGACAGAGAGCTCTTTCCCCGATGTGAGGTTATACGCTCATAATCCCATTCCCCTAAGGCCCCTGAGTTCTGGGAGGTGGACTCCTTCCCATTTCAGAGATGAGAGAAGTGAAGGCCATTTGCAACTGTGCTGGCCAGTGACTGCACATAGGGTCACAACCACCACCCGCCCCAAGCCCCATGTGAGACAGAAAGTGCATCCAAACCCAGCCCAGGACATCTGGCTATGACCGTGACCCACCCCTTGCCCTGGGGGGGGCGAACACAGGTCTCTGGATGGTTCCTTGAAAATATGCCCTTTTTATTTTATATAAAGTTCATTTTCACAGCCATATTTATTTTGTGCAATTAGTTGGTAACTCTCTTCTCTAGCTAATCTATCTGTTGCTTTCCTGCCACCAGCGAAGGGGGCTCAGTGGCCTATCAGCATCTGTCTGGAACTTCCCGTGGAGAAAGCCGCAGTGTCAGAGATGGGTGATAGTGGCGGCCACAGAAAGCCTTGCACGCGGGTCAGGCACTGCCCACAGGACAGTCAGGCTCAGCACACTTCCACTGATGATCCTGCTATACCCTCTCAGTGCAAACTTCAGTTCCTCAATAGGAGATCTACTCTCTAAAGGGTGGGCTTCTGCCCTGGCTGGTGTGGCTCAGTGGACTGAGCACTGGTCTGTGAACTGAAAGGTCACTGGTTTGATTCCCAGTCAGAGCACAAGCCTGGGTTGTGGGCCAGGTCCCCAGTAGGGACCATGTGAGAAGCAGCTGATCAATGTTTCTCCCCTTCTCTTTTTCCCCTCCCTTTCCCACTGTCTAAAAACACAAATAAAATCTTTAAAGGATGTTCTTCTACAAATCCATTTCAAGAAAAACAAAATAAATGTTTTTAGTTTGTTTTAATTGAACAAGTGATACCATATAACCTCCAGTGTGGAAATACCCTCTGCAAGCATTTGAGCAAAGGGGAATGGAGGGGCAGAGTTAGGAGTGCCTCAGTTTCTTGGCGAAATTGATGTCCAGGTACTCATCCAGAAAGCGGTTTGCAATCCCCAAGGTGCTGAGGAGGGTCAACGAGACCAAAGCCCCCAGGCTCACCCGGAAGCTCATGATCCTGCAGAGCAGAGATGAGGGAGGGAGGTGATGAGCAGCAGTGGCCACAGCAGTGAAGCCGGGGCCTCCTGGGGCCGCTGCTCATTGTCGACACTGCCCAAGATGTCCGTGTTTTTGCCATTTGAAGATTTTGGCTCATCACACAAATCAAAGGGGGTACCTAACCACAAAGGTCAATTATCTCCTTTCAACATTCAAAGGATTTTAAAAGCGGGGCAGAATTATTTCCTTGGTAACTCATTGGAGAGAGTACAAAATTTCTGCAGGGACTGAAATTGTGATGGTCAAAGAATGCACACTCAGTGTACACTTTTATACTTGAACTTCCCTGTCTCGTGCCTAATTGTGCATGGGCTTGGGGAGATGGTGGCCTCGGACAACAGAGGTCAGAGGTCACCTTTGCAATCACAGCCATCGGTGCTGCTAACACTCTCGGGAACAGGAAACTGATTCAGACTCCATCTGCTACTTTTCACCCAAACATCAGCTCATGGGTTCTCCTTACCTTTTTTTAGCAGCTTCTGAATATCCCCAGAAATACTGGAAACGGGCATATATGTATACCAGACCCAGACAAGCAGCAAAAACTATAGGAAAAAAAAATAGAGAAGATATAGAATGTGAGGGCCGCCTCTCAAAACGTGGCGACTGAGAAAATGCTTACAAGACGTGTGTCCGACAAAGACGCGCATCCAGAACACACAGAGCCCTCTGGTGGCCATTCAGTGGAAAAACAA